TCACCCACAGGGTTCATGATAAATGAGCAGCAGACACCACAGCAGGGCTGGGGCCACACAAAACAGGTTGCACGTGTGCCGTGGCTACATCCCTTACAGCAACGATTAGCTGCAACAACTGAAGAACCCCCTTCAGCTCAGAGCAAACAGGGACCTTCCCAAGAGACTCAGTGACTCCTTGTGGGTGAACCAAACAGCGCCTCCTCCTGCTCCTGTCCTCCCTGCTCCTTCTGAGGTCAGCATCCACCACTCGGTGCGGACTGAGTGAAAGTGCACTCCAGGGTCAGCTGAGCTTCTCCAGCCCCAGCATTCGCGGCGTGACTTCAGTTAATCTTCAGGACAGCCCTGAGAAATTGCCATGTCCCTGTGGCTTACAGCCACGAGGTGACCTGTTCGATCCCAAAGCCAAGGCTTTGAGATGGATCCTCAGCTTTAGGTTCCAGCCTTTCTGAGGCACCCAAGCCACCTTCCGTGACACTGACGTGGCAAGGCCTTGTCTCCTTCCCTGGCTCCCTTCTTGCCTCCTCACCCCAAACCCTCTGGTACCTCTGCAGCTCAGCCCAGAGAGCTGAGTGTCACCGTTCTGGTGGGACTCCCCTCCCCCCAGTATGTGACGTCAGGTCCTTCCTGAGGAGCAGCTCTCACGACCAGCCACTCAAGAAGCCAAGGCTTAGTTGTGAAGGGTTCCCTCTGACGTATGACCTCAAGGCCAAAGCCCTTGACCTCTGCCATCACTACTGTTTCTTAGCAGGTCATAGTACTCAGACTATTTATGAAATATCAGGTGGCAATTGTCCAGCTGTGAGCTGGGAGATAACTTACAGACACACAGGGTACGTGTGCCAGGAGCGGAAAACAAGTGCTTCATGGGCATCACCTTGGTTCTGCCCAGGCTTCCAGTTCAGCCCTCAGTCTAACTCTGCAGAGCTACGTGTCTCTGTGTGTCATTACAAAACTAAAAACATAAGCCAAAAGAAAGTCGTAATTATCTACTACATGCCAGGCACCATGCTGGACCCTTCGGAAAAACTTAAGTTATGTAACAAACGGGCCCTGCATTGAAATAGATCAGAGAAAGGGGCGTAAGAAACATAAGCAAGTATTTCAGGTTGCGTGTTATAACCAAGCGGTACAGGCTAACTGAATTAAGGCTTCAGAGATGGGGTGGCGGCGTCACTAGCTAGAGGAGTCACAGGAAACTAAGAAAGCTGCACGGTGAGAGAAGAGGGGAGTTTATGGGGACAGGGAAGCGATCGCACTGCAGGCGAGAGCAACAGGACCAAGCCTCCGTGGATTCACTCGATGAGAATTTACAGAACACCTTTCCTCTAATTCCTTGGTTCTTTCAAGGCATTAAGGAAACCAAGGCCCTCTAAAACCGAGTTCTCCTGCCGAGTTTATGATTAATCTCTCTGTCCCAAACTTTATTCCCTTTCTTGCCCCCTCTAACCTCAACTCTATGCTAACTAAACACTCCTCAGCCAGAGTCAGGTGACTAAGATGGCTATCGTCAATAACATCGCTAACGCACTAAACTGCTGTTGTCGATATCACTGTTAAGGTACAAACTCAGGTTGTTTCTCCAGGGTAAGATGAGCAACAGATGCCCCCATCCATGGACCACCTGGCCTGAGGATCGTAAACCAGAGACATCCTGACTCCCAAAACTACGATTAAGAAACGTCACAGAAATGTCACAACACGATGATTAACCCCAGCTTCACTGTTCTTCCCCCCTTTAACTCAAAGACCAAGCTGGAGTGGATCTGAGGCTTGTCTCCCACTCCTTTGCTTGATGCCCTGCAAATAAACTCTGACTTTGCTGCAGACACCCACTGTCAGAGTAGGCTTTCTGCACTGTGGGCAAAAGAGCCCTTTTGCTTGGTTACAAAACTCCTTCCACTAGATAAGCACACCCCAAAAAGGTACAGCTTGAAAGAAGAAATCTTTGGTCAAGAGGCCAGAGAATGCTGCATACCACTTCCCTCTTTGGAGACCTATCCATGCATGTTAGCATGCTAAAGGCTCTGAGAAGGCCTGCAGTAAAGAAACCGTTTCAGTGTTGTTTAACCCATATTGACTTGACCACAGACACTTTTTCCGTACTGGACACCCATTTCCATCCTGAGAAACAACTGTTCAAGGGAACCTACTTGGGGAATCCTCCTTAAACCAGGCGTCTTCCACTAGTCAGGGCTTCCGGCGCTGGGCAGGGGGAGGAGGGAGATGTGGGGAGACAGAAATCCCCATGGGAGTCAACTCTCGTTGGCTGCAGCAGCAGCAGCAACAAAGGGAAAGAAGTCTGTTGACAGAAAGAGTCAACAGAACCTGGGAAAGGATGAGGAGGAACTCGTCTGTGATCCAGCGAATCAGAACAGCTCACTGTGGTGCAGACAACATGGAGCAACAAACCAGCGGCACACATGAGCCACTGACACGCTTGTGGGATAAATCTACTCAAAGAACCTGGAGCAAGAGACTGAGATTTCACTTTTGTATTGTTCAAAAACTCTTACTTGAGGGAAAGCCTTGTATGTCAGATTATAATCTATGTAATCTTTAAAGGAGACCTCAGTTTTCTGCCTTTCAAGTCTAGGATGATGGTTCACAGCAATTCACTTGGTTCCCCGGTGCTTATGCCTCTCAGCCGCCTGCCCTGGCCTGACCTGCACCCAGGGCTGTGAGGATGGACCCCAAGTGGCAAAGCCTGGCATGGAGACCGGGCCTCCTATCTCCTCATGCTCCTTCCACTCCAACCGTGAATCCCAGGAACCCTATGCTTCAGGGGCGTCCCTCATCTCAGATATCCTGTTATCCCCCAAACACCATCAAAACACCCCCAAAATTATACTTCATATCCACTCATCTTTCCCTCCTGGAAGGGGCAGAAAGATCCTTTTTTTTTTTTTTTCTCAAATTCCTTTTGGTAAACTCAGTTAACTTCATAGATCACAAGATTATTTGGAAAATTTATACATGGCAACAGAATATGCTAAATAGTTTTTTGGTTTTTTTTTTTGCGGTACGCTGGCCTCTCACTGTTGTGGCCTCTCCCGTTGCAGAGCACAGGCTCCGGACGCGCAGGCTCAGTGGCCATGGCTCATGGGACCAGCTGCTCCGCGGCATGTGGGATCTTCCCGGACCGGGGCACGAACCCGTGTCCTCTGCATCGGCAGGCGGACTCTCAACCACTGCGCCACCAGGGAAGCCCTGCTAAATAGTTTTTGCCCAACCAGATCAAAAACAAATATATAAATAGGTTTATGACTAGAACAAGAAATGTTCCATCTGGGGGAGAGAAAACGTTTTTAAGCCAATTTAGCGCAGAATGCCTGTCATTAACACTGCAGGTGTGTGATACAGTGAGGTCCTCAAGGGCACACACCCTCATGGATAGAAAGACACACACACATCACCTAAAGTGGCAGACAAATGCAACAAAACATTTATTTTTGGCTTTGAGCTCTATTTCTCTACTTGACTACAGCTCAGTTGGAAGCCTGAGGAAACAATTTCTCCCCAAATAATAAGGCTGTATTTGGAAGCCATGCTTTTGTTCCCCTCCCCACCTAGCTCTTCCTGGCCCATGTTCAGTGGTAGCCTGTGGGCCGGGGGCTCCTCTTTCTGACTCCTGCAAGACAGCAGCCCAGGCAAAGAGTGCAGGCATTAAGGAAATTTCAACTACATGCGCTTTTATGCGTGTGCCAGAGAGCATGGGGAAGGACAGGTCAAATATCCTATCCTCAACAGGTGTGAGTTTACCCTTCCCCGCTAGGGGCCATTGGGTCATGTCTGGAGACCTTGGTTGTCACACTGGTAAGAGAGGGTACTACTGGCATCTAGTGGGTGTAGGCCAGGGATGCTGCTCAACATCCCACCATGCACAGGATGTCCCCTCCACAAACAGTTCTCTGGCCCAACATGTTAATGGTGTTGAGGCTGAGAAACCCTGCACTAAGTGAACAAAGCACACGATGAAAACGATACGTGTGTGCTGTCCACAAACCTGAACACAGGAACCGCACACAGTGCCTGGATGAGAGACACCATGAAGTCCAACACAGTGAAATAATCTGGACACTGCAGCCGAGTGCCACATTATGATGCCTTCAGCTGAAGTACCAATATCGCGAGCTTTCAACTCTGTTAATTATGTGGATAGGCAGGAATGTACTGGATTACAGCCATACCAATAGGCCATCATCCTGACCAAACATCACTGTGTTATTTGAGAGCACAAAACAGTGAGGTGGAACTGTTTTAACCGTCTCTCTCTTAAAAAAAAAAAAAAAAAAAAAAGGAAATGGCAGATATTTAAACTGTAAAAACAAATAAGAGGTATCAGTGGGGGAACTGAATCAAATGTGAAATCTGAGGAACAACTCACATGCCAGAGTCATTTCACATGCCCAGGGTCCATCGTGTTAATTCCCTGGTAGTTTATTGGGACAGAAATGCACCCAATATGCAGCCACCAGGAGATCTCTGTCCCAGTGATGAAATATTATAATGTTCTTGGCAAGCCTGCACTCTTCCAATGAACTACAGCACAAGATTCACCCACACCAACAAGATTTAAAATAATCATAAAACACTGAATTTCAAGAGATGTTTGAGTATTTGAGAAAGTGATCTCTGAAATAAGATACAAACTAGCCCTCCAAGCAAGATGCTGGGAGAATCACCTTTACTCTTATCATTTATTGTTAGCTTTCAGAAATCCCAAAGACATCATAGGTTGCAGAAAAAGAAAATAGTAACTCAAGTGAGAAGCAACTCTATGCAGTGTAGAAAGAAAATGGAGGTGCATATGTCAAAAAAGCAAAGATATTAAAAATGCAAAATGCTGCTAACTTTATACTAAATTTAAAAATCATAAAAACCAAATGGAAGGGCATTCCAAGTCGTCTGCCACAGACTCGAAGGCTGTTTATTATTTCACATGTTCTACTGCAGAATTAGTATCAAGTTTTAGAAGTAGGAAAAAAAAAAAAACTAACCTTAAGGTTATCAAAGGTTTTGACAGTCTGCGCCAAGTCACTGACACTCCCTGGCGATGCTGTCCCCTGTCCCCTAGGGCCTGAGGACACCCGTGAGCCGTCAATGACCTCAAAGCCAGAAAGCAAGGCCTCTGAACAGCTGCAATGAGACTCCTTCGCTCTCTGACCCGCTATCAGGTATGTCTTCAAACCTATGGATAAAAATTACAGTCAGCACAGGTGGACACCAGCGTTGGTCGAAACGCAGCTCCGTCTTGCTCTCTACGCAGGACATGCTCCTAGAAAGTTGAGAGTAAAGTGAAAATGAGAATAGGTCATATTTTACTACTACTCCCATGACCTATCCAGAGACGCGCAGCCTCAGGGAGAACGACTGCCTCCAAAACACACCATGTATTCACATTGTGTTTTCTCTGAATGGAGGCTGCACGCTTCATCTTCTGGGGCTGAAACAAGGGTTTAAAAGTCCTTCCTTGGAAGGGTCACATGGCCTCTTTCTGACGGCAGCAGAGCCCACTGAGTGCAGACCCTATACATTTCTTGCGTTTGTTTCTATCTGTAAATACCAGTCACCGACATTCATAATGGTCAGTCTAGATGTGAGGGTGACTACAGACCATGTTACCTACGTCAGGGACTGGCAACCACCATGAAAAGGGAGACCAGAATGTGCACCAGCGGGGGAACTAAGCCCTCCCTCGATTCAGACTTAACAAGTATCTCTTTTCTGTTGGATCCAAACATTCACACGGCAGGAACATCATTTTTTTTTTAAATATTTATTTATTTATTTATTTGGTTGCACCAGGTCTTAGTTGTGGCCGGTGGGCTCCTTAGTTGCAGCTCGCCGGCTCCTTAGTTGCAGAACGTGGACTCCTTAGTTGCAGCTCCAGGGCTCCTTAGTTGCAGCTTGCCAGCTCCTTAGTTGTGGCACTTGAACTCTTAGTTGTGGCATGCATGTGGGATCTAGTTCCCTGACCAGGGATTGAACCCAGGCCCCCTGCACTGGGAGCGCGGAGTTTTATCCACTGTGCCACCAGGGAAGTCCCAGAACATCAGCTTTTTGTCAAACTGCAGTCTACGTGAATTTTATTCTCTCACAAAATCCCCACTGTAAAAAAACGTTGGTTAAATGGACTATTAACCTACAACTTTACAATCCCCATTAAAGGCTGAAGTAACAATATATGCTATAGTGTTAAGGAGCTGTAACAGGTGGGCTGGGCCCTGCTCCTGGTGTACAGGACTATCTGCTGGGAGGTGAGTAAGGAGCTTTTCCAGATGGAACTCAAAGGCTTTCTGAAAAAGAAGCAAGCCTTATTTAAAGAAATCCATTGCTAGTCCTTACTGGAATTTAACCAGACTACGAATTTATGAAAGGAAGTGACAACGTGATTTATTCAATAAACATTTATTTTAGACCTGGTGTATGCTGTACACAGAGAATAAAACCAGAACAAAGCAGGATTCCCATCTTAAGGAGTTTAAGCTTCAGCAGAAGGTGGTAGAGAAAAGTCATCATAGGACTTCCCTGGCGGTCCAGTGGTTAAGACTTCGCCTTCCAATGCAGGGGGTGCGGGTTCCATCCCTGGTCGGGGAGCTAAGATCCCACATGCCACGTGGCCAAAAAACCAAAACATAAAACAGAAGCAATATTGTAACACGCTGAATAAAGAATTTAAAAATGGCCCATGTCAAAAAAAAAATCTTAAAAAAATAAAAGACTCTATACGCTATCTAAGAAAATAAAGTACATTTAAAAACAAAAAAGAGGGCTTCCCTGGTGGCGCAGTGGTTGATAGTCCGCCTGCCGATGCAGGGGACACGGGTTCATGCCCCGGTCCGGGAGGATCCCACATGCCGTGGAGCGGCTGGGCCCGTGAGCCGTGGCCGCTGAGCCTGCGTGTCCGGAGCCTGTGCTCCGCAATGGGAGAGGCCACAAGAGCGAGAGGCCCGTGTACCGCAAAAAAAAAAAAAAAAAAAGAGGTGACATGTGACTACACTGCTGGATTCATACAGTTTCTCGCACTCAGTAAATATTTAATAAATGCTCTAAAATTAATTAAGCACATAACCCTGGGACTACTTAATCAATAATCCTTAATCATTTTATAATTAAACCACCATTTCATCACTTTATCTTTCTTCCTCTCCCTCCCTCCTTATAAAATACTGTATAGCATATGTTTGTAGGTCAACAGTTCAGAGAATTTGGCAAGAGTTCCAGGACACCTAGAGACATCCAGGAGCGTAGCCAAATCACAGGTGGGATCCAAAGACTAAGATAAATAATTTTAGATGCTAACTGACCCCAAAGGAGATTGTTAAATGCTCACTCTTAACTAAGGTCCTGAACTTCCATGTATTTTTTCCAACCAAAAATATACATCCCAAATGATATATAGGATCAATCACAGTTCTGACTAGCTACGTGTATAAACTTGAAAGGGAAGCGTGAACTAGAATACAACAGAAGGGTAAAAGCAGCTTTGCGTGAATTTCTCAGACTCTTACAGAAAACACTGGACTGATTTTATCATTTCGCCTTGGGAGAGTCAGAAAACACAAGCTCTGTGGGCTGAGGAGAGAAAAGCCCTATTTCTGACCTGCCGTGGCATCTCATCCCTGGCTTCACCCAACCAGGGCATGAAGAGGCCTGGTCCCTGGAGCTGCTGTAACCAGTCCCTCTCGAACTCCCGGGTGTGGCAGGTAAGTCCCCTGCAGCGGGTGGGAAGGGGGGCCCAGAGAGCACCTGCAGCTGCTGCAGGGGCTGCCTTGGGGAACAGACAAAGGAAGGGCATTTTTTGGATTGCAGGGGTGAGGAGCTGAGGCTGCAGGGGAAGGTTTTCCGTTGTGCCTGTAGCTGGCCCTGACCCCAGAACTGCATTCCCATGGGGAGGCCGGCAGCTCGGGGCTCCCCTGCCCAGGGCTCTGCACCCCTGGGCCCTGCTCCCAGTCAGCTCTCTCACACCCAGGAGGGGTCCTCAGTCAGGGAACCACTTATCCCCTCCCTGTATGGCTCCTCGGGCAAGAGCAGGTGAAGGAGGCCTTTCCTGGAGGCATGACAACTACAGCAGAGAAAGGGCTGAGCCTGAGCCCCGCAGGGCCATGAATACATGATGATGATGCAGCCAGTCCTCCAAGCAGCAGTGCGCCCTCCACCTGGGCATGGAGCCAGCTCTGCAGCACAGGCTCTGATGCCTGCCTTGGGGTGGGCACCCCTGAGGTTTGTCGTTGCTACTTTGAATTGTGACTACCGAGTTGCCACTCATTGCTCAAACATTTATTAAGTGCCTCTGTTTACCATGCACTGTGAGGGTGCTGAGGGGACAAGCGTGAACATGGCAGCCGTGACCCTCCCTGTACAGGGCAGCTCCTGCAGGGGGATCTCGGCAGCAGGTGGGTACGCCTACCCAGTCCAGGACCAGGAAGCACAGGAGGGTGTATCTCACAAAGACTCAGAGGTTTGGGAAGGCCTCCTGGGTGAAGTCCCCTCCATGTTGAGGGCTACAAGATGAGGAGAGGCCAGCCCAGTGAAGGCCATCAGGACCAGGGGCTGGGACAGCGTGGTCAGGCTGTGGGTGTCACCAGAATAGTCGATGAACCAGACTCTAGAAAGGGAGCCTTTAGCAGGGAGAGTGGAGGGATGGAGGTGAGTGTTGTGTGGCTGGAACAGAGAACATGTTCGGGGTGGCAGGGGGTGGGGAGGGGGCAGAGAGGAGCTGAAGTCCGTGCACGGCACCAGGGAGACCAGCTCCAGGAGCCTTCACTCTGGGGGCAACAGGGGTGAGGAGGAGTAACGAGCAGGCATCAGGCTGAGGAAAGGCCAGGGAGCCCTGGAAACTCCAGCCACAAGTGGGAGGTGAGGGAGTCAAGGGGCGAGGGAGGTAGGAAATAATGGTGAAACCTACTCCTTCTGAATTGCAGGAGCAACAGGCAAGGCTTCCACAGCAAGCACGAGTGTGACGGGTAAGGGCATGTGGCTTCCAGGGAGAAGCCCTGGGATTCAGGCTCTGTCCCTCCTAAACGTGTGATGCAGTAAGATACTTCATGGCTCCACCTCTCACTAAGAACAGGACTCACCCCACAGGGCTGACTCGAGGATTAAATGATTAACACACATGAGGCCTTCATGGCAGTGCCTGGCGCACAGTAAAAACTCAGTAACGTTAGCTATTATTCTCAACGTGGGTGTTTGACCTGCTTATCGCTGGGAATCTTTTTTATGCTCCTTCTATGTACAAAAGCATTTGCAGGATTGTTAAATCAATAACTGCTCCAAATTTGTTCCTAACTTGAATTTTTCTTTGGGTGGCTCCTAACAATCAACCTGTATTAGTAACACAGCAATGCGAGTGTTCCAAAGGACAAACGCACAGATGTGTCCATGGCAAGCAAAAAATCGGTGAACAAATTAAGCAACATTTTTTATGCTTCAATATGGAAAGTTAGATTTAAAGTGAAATGTTTTGCCAAAACTGGAGTGATATCAGTAATGATAAAGTCAGACCGGATATGAAAGGTCCCAGGGAACGTATCAGGGTCGGGTGACTGGCTGCAGTCAGGAGAGGTCATAAGACATAAGGATTTAATGAGTAACTACACACATGGACCTTGGGGTCCAAGTTCGTTAGAATGGCTCTTTTAGAGCAGAAAGTCAAAATAAGGCAGCTAGAGGGCTTCCCTGGTGGTGCAGTGGTTGAGAGTCCGCCTGCCGATGCAGGGGATACGGGTTCGTGTCCCGGTCTGGGAAGATCCCACATGCCGTGGAGCGGCTGGGCCCGTGAGCTATGGCCGCTGAGCCTGCTCGTCCGGAGCCTGTGCTCCACAATGGGAGAGGCCGCAACAGTGAGAGGCCCACATACCGCAAAAAAAAAAAAAAAAAAAAAAAAAGGCAGCTAGATTATTTATTTCGTTAAGTATAGTATAAACAGGAGAACAATTAATAAGGTTTCTTATATTCTTTCCTGGTAACTGACTTTAAACCTCACTGGCACGGACGCCTTTCATCGGCTTAATTTCACAGCAGGTGGAGAAGTGGGGAAGACGGTTCCCATGAGCTCCTGTCTCACGGAGGCGTCGTCTGCAGCTATGTGTGCCCGGGAGGCTGACGTGGTTAACAGTCTTAACTATAGCATCAGTTCTTCGAGGAGAAAAACTGAGCCTTGCACACAACTTGTGTTTAGTTTTC